TGATATTGAATGGTTTGCCTTGGAAACGAACAGAGATCATTCTGTCGTTTTTGAGATTGCATCCAAGTACTGCATTTTGGACTCTTTTGTTGACCATGATGGCTGCTCCATTTCTTCTAAGGGATTCTTGCTCACAGTAGTAGATATAATGGTCATCTGAGTTAAATTCACCCATTCCAGTCCATCTTAGTTCACTGATTCCTAGAATGTTGATGTTCACTCTTGCCATCTCCTGTTTAACCACTTCCAATTTGCCTTGATTCATGGACCTAACATTCCAGGTTCCTATGCAATATTGCTCTTTACAGCATTGGACCTTGCTTCTATCCCCAGTCACATCCACAACTGGGTGTTATTTTTCCTTTGGCTCCGTTTCTTCATTATTTCTGGAGTTTTTCCTTCACTGATCTCCGATAGCATATTGGGTACCTACTGACCTGGGGAGTTCATCTTTCAGTGTCCTATCTTTTTGCCTTTTCATACTGTTCATGGGGTTCTCATGGCAAGAATACTGAAGTGGTTTAAACATTTATACATTGCTTAGCAAATAGCACCTAGAGACCCTTTCCCCAGATGGAGAAGTACAGTCCCTGGTGCCCAGGGCCTGTGAGACTCCTGAGCAGGCACCCTTCCCCCAAGGAGTGCACCCTGTGTGATCACCTGCAAGGACGGTCTTTTCGTCTTTCTGAAGTGAAGCGTTGGCAGCTGCCTGTGTTCCTGCCTGTAACGACGATGGAACCGTCACACTGTGTGTTCTCCTTTGCACCGTGCTTTTCTTGGTCCGTGGGATTGACCAGTGTTCTTTTTACTGCTGGGTAGCATTCTGTTCTGTGAGTGGACTGCAGCTTATTTATCTGTTTTATCCTAGATTGGACGTTTGAGTTGTTTCCTGTTATCTGTAGTTATGAATGTTTTCCCCTGTGTATCCTGGCCTCTGAATCTTGAGGGTATGTCCCTAAGAGTAGCATGCTGGTCATAGGTGAGGTGAGCACATCATTTATTCAAACAGGGACTCTTGAGAGCCCAGGGAGGCACAGTGAGCCCTTGCTGGGCAGCATCATACACTGGGTTGTGCTGGGCACACGGCCCTGGTTGGGGTGTCTGCTTGTGGCCCTGATCCACAGTGTCTGGGAAGGCTGTTGCCCCTGCCACCATGGGTGTCCAGTTTGAGCCAACCACTTCTTTGCTGGAACGTGGCATCATCAGGCTTTATTGGTTGCCGGTCTGGTGAGCTCGTCCTGGATCACACATGGGAAGTAGCTCTTCAGCCATTTCTCTCTCAGATAAGAAAGCTGAGATTGACATCCTGGCCGCGGAGTACATCTCCACCGTGAAGACGCTTTCCTCCGACCAGCGCGTGGAGCACCTGCAGAAGATCCAGAGCGCCTACAACAAGTGCAAGGAGTACAGTGACGACAAGGTGCAGCTGGCCATGCAGACCTACGAGATGGTGAGTTGGGGGCTGCTCCCCCCACGCGCAGGGAGTGCTGCTCAGAAACGGCAGGTCAGGCAGAGCTCAGGCTGGGACAGGGCGATGCGGCTAGAGAAGGTGCGCAGTGGAGGGCTCCTCCTCCTGGGCGTGCTCCTGTGGTCTAGTGTTCTGTGCCCTTTCAGCTTGTTCTGTTACGTGTATATATATGTACATTTTGATGCTTGTTTTCATCAGCCTTAGGTGAGCCTGTTCTGCCCACCTCCCTCTCAGGTCAGCCTCACTTGAGGCTCATGAAGCGGCGCATGTGGGGTTGTGTTGTGAGCTGCTCCATCCTCACCTCCCCTAGGAAGACAATAGTGGCTTCTTAGAGCCCGCATTTGGTTGTGTTTGAGAAAGAAGCCTCTCGAAGCGGAGTTTCATGCTTATGTTTGGGATTTTGATCTAAAGCACTAAGTCCTTTGAGTAAGCAGCCTATCTTCCTGAGAACTAGTGTGATCAGCATCCTTAAGACAGTCCTGTTTTCTCTCTGGTGTGTAGCGAAGCTGAGGGCTCTGGTTCACTCCCAGACGGGGCTGTGTGGCCCCTGCTTGGGACGCTGCCACAGGGGCCGCTGGGAGGTTGTCACTGCTGGCAGGCGCTTTTCTCGTGATGTCCCTGCAGCTGCTCAGCAGGAGTGTGCCCTCCCGTGTTGTCCTGTGTGGTCACGGGTGATGTTGCCGCCTCTTTCTCCTTCCTTCCAGCTTCATCCGGAACCTAAAAGTTAAGTCATTCTCTTCTTAAGGACCTGTGGCTCCTCACGTTTTACGTCACAGCTGGGTATCTAGTGTCCTCAGCCCTTACTCCATGCCTCACAGCTGTTTCTCATCCCTTCAAGGTTTTTTCCCCAGTCGGCTTTATTCTGTTGATCGGTCATATATGGGGAAAAAAGACCTTTGCATGAACTAGGAAATAGTGGGCCTTGTTCTAGCAGAGCTTTGTTAATTCAGGACTCAATTAAGGGCCAGACAGCACTTTCTGGCTGACACTGGGAGCATCTGTGATTCCCAGGGCGTTCTGCCCTGACAACCACACGGATTGTGTGAGCGTCCTTCCGTGCAGGTGGACAAGCACATCCGGAGGCTGGATGCAGACCTGGCTCGCTTTGAGGCGGACCTGAAGGACAAGCTGGAGGGCAGCGACTTTGAGAGCTCTGGAGGACGGGGGCTAAAAAGCAAGTCTGTTAATTTTTCTTCATTTTCTTACTGTTAACAATGGAGTTTTGAAGAATTTTGTCCGATAAGTGTATTAGGAATATTACGGTAAATACCATGTTTGGGTAAACCTTGTCCTGCCTCCGGAATTCTGTGAACAAAGTTGGGGTCTGTCTTGTTTCAGAAGGTCGAGGTCAGAAAGAAAAGAGGGGCTCCAGGGGTCGTGGCAGGAGGACCTCAGAAGACGACACCCCAAAGAAGAAGAAACATAAAGGAGGGTGAGAGGTGCTTTTTATGTTTTTCCCCAGAGAAGAACATTGGTGTTTGCTCAGGAGGGGAACACCAGCCACTGCTGAGGCTGCAGACGTGCTCACCTGTGCAGGTGTGCCATGGCCCCTCCCTCCCACCTGTCAGGTGTGCGGAGGCTCCTCCCCCTCACGTGTGCAGTGGCCCCTCCCCCCACCTGTGCACGTGTGCAGTGGCCCCTCCCCCCACCTGTGCAGGTGTGTGGAGGCTCCTCCCCCCTCACCTGTCAGGTGTGCCGAGGCCCCTCCCCCTCACTTCTGCAGGTGTGCTGTGGCCCCCTCACCTGTCAGGTGTGCTGAGGCTCCTCCCCCTCACCTGTGCAGTGGCCCCTCCCCCCACCTGTGCACGTGTGCTGTGGCCCCCTCCCTCTCCTGTGCAGGTGTGCCGAGGCTCCTCCCCCTCACCTGTGCAGGTGTGGCTCCTGCCTCACCTGTGTAGGTGTGCTGACCTGATAGCCCTGTGAATCTGAGGTTCCACATCCAAGGGTCACATAATAGTGTAGCAGTATTTACTGAAAAAATTCTACATGTAGGTGAAATCACAGAGTTGAAACCCATGTTGTTCGAGAGTCAGCTATTAATTTCATATGTTGTGATTTTTGTTATGGAACATCTGTTTGACTTCTTTTTTTACAGATTTTAGTTCTGGTTTGAAAAGTCTCCATGCATGAATGTCTTAGTTATGCCTCCTTCGTAACACGTACTTAAAGCTCTTCTCTGTTCGTCTAAACACCTGGTCGTCTGTGCTTCTGCTGCTTCGTGCACAGGCTCCTCCTGGTTGGTGGTGGTTTAGTCCCTCAGTCGCGTCTGAGTCTGCCCGCCAGGCCCTTCTGTCCATGGGATGTCCCAGGCAAGAACTTGCCGACCAGGGATCAAACCTGTGTCTGCTGCATTGGCAGGCGGCCTCTTTACCACCGACCCAGCAGAAAAGCCCTCCTGGTGACCGCTCCTGTTTTCTTGCTCCGTCAGGTCACACGGTTTGCTCCTTCTCTGGCCTTGCGGGTGCACGGAGGTCGTGGAGAGGGCAGCACCTGCCCTTCCCAGAGGGCTCGCCCTGTGTGCTGCAGGTGGACAGAGCTGGGGGGGGCTGGCGGGAAGGTGCTGAGGCGGGGAAGCCAGAGCGCCCGTCTGCCGCCTGCGGGCGAGGCTCTCCTGCTGCTGCTCCCCTGGTCGGTCGCAGGGGCCTGGGAGAGGCTGGCTGGTTGGAGTCCAGGGGCTGGGCCCTGCAGCTTCTGTGTGGCGGGGCTTGGTAGATGGACCGTGGGTATGGCTGTGTGTGGGTCCCGCGGTGTTGGAGCGGCCCCGGCCCTCCACAGCCCTCCTGTATCTGTACCCATGACGCAGCGGTGTACGGGCTTGCTTTCTTCCGTGGCGGCAGGGCTTCCTGCTCCTTCCTGCTCAGGACCTGGGGTCAGGCAGGCATCCTCTCGTGTCCCTTCATCCACGAGTCCCCTTGGAGGGAAGAGGCCCGGCTTCCAAGTGCAGGGGCGCCTCCCTGGGGCGCACGTGCCTGACCGTGCAGAGCCCAGGTGACCCCTGTGGTCCCAGCCCCCTCTGAGGGGCTGCAGCGTTCCCTCGGCCACTGCCTGTATCATAGCTGGTGAGCCGGGGCCGTCAGTGAGGAGGCTGGGCCAGGCAGCCTGCCTGAACCGTGTCCTCCCCGCAGCCGCCTGACCGAGCACATGACCCCGTGGGCGGGGAGAGAGCCCCTGGCCAGCAGGACTGCCCGAGGCCGTGCTCGAGGCAGCTTGAAAGTGCTGGGTCAGAGTTACATCTCTGTGACGTTTACAAGAAGGAAGCCCTTCCTCAGAGACGGAGACGGAGTCCTCACGGGGGAGGGCCTCGGAGCGGCCCCGTGGGTGGGGCCGCCGTGTCGGGGGACCGGGGTGCAGCTGACCTGGGTACGGGGTGCGTCTCGGCAGCCGCCTGGGGAAGGGGCGAGCAGTCAGTCCCTCGGGGACCCGGATCCCTTCCGTCACCCGGTTGGTGTGTTCACGTAGCTCAGCTGGCCGCTGCCTCTTACTTTTCCCTTTGCTGTGCTCCTTGTGTGACGCGCTGTTCCTTTAGCAGGTGATTATCTGAGCACGCCTGTAGTTTCTACCTGGGGGGTATGGGAGGGAGGGTTTTCCTTCTGTACTGGTGGGAAGGTACTGTTTTCACTCACCTGAGCTCATGGGATTATTTTAGAAGACTGAAACCCACACGAGTTGATTCCCCCCGAGCCACTCCCTCCCCGCAGCTGTGGCGCCGTGGGCAGTGGTCTTGGGGGTGGTCTGGGTGCTGTGGGGGCCTGGGCGTGGTGCGGGTGGCCCTGGGCTGGCTGGGCTGCTTCCTGGGGCAGGCAGGTGAAGTGGCCCCGCGCACAGGGGGTGGCTGTGGTGCTTGCTTCCTGAGAGTCGGAGCCCAGGGGAGGCTGGGGGCCAGGGACACCTGCGGTTCTGGGCTGAAGGTGCCGGTGGAGTCGGGTGGAGGGCAGAGCTGCGGGGCGGGCTGCTCAGACACTGGGCGTTCGGGCGGGCTCCGGGGTGCTCTCGGGTGTCGCCGGGCGCCCACTGCTGGTGGTGCCGTCTGTTCTGGGGACCCGGGGAGGGGCTGGGGCAGGTCCGCTCGGGTGAGGGACTGTCTGGACACGTGGTGACCGCCTGCCCTGTGTCGGTCTGCGCCTTTGTGCCACGTCCTTGCCGGGCGCCATCGGGGGCAGCTTGACCCCAACTCCCCTGCCTGTTGTCCCCACAGGTCCGAGTTCACTGACACCATCCTGTCTGTGCACCCCTCCGACGTGCTGGACATGCCCGTGGACCCGAACGAGCCCACATACTGCCTGTGCCACCAGGTGTCCTACGGGGAGATGATCGGCTGCGACAACCCGGACGTGAGTGTGGGCCATGGGGCGGGCTGGGTGACGGGCGGGCGGCACTGACCGCCTCCTCTGGACGAGAGTGTGGGCCGTGGGGTGGGCTGGGCAACTGGCGGGCGGCAGGCAGCCGGCACTGACCGCCTTCTCCTCTGGACGTGAACGTGGGCTGGGCGGCAGGTGGGCGGCACTGACCGCCTCCTCTGGACGAGAACATGGGCCGCGGGGTAGGCTGGGCTGGGTGGGTGGGCGGCACTGACCACCTCCTCTGGACGAGAGTGTGGGCTGCCGGGCGGGCTGGGTGACTGGCGGGCAGCACTGACTGCCTCCTCTGGACAAGAGTGTGGGCGGCGGGCGGGCGGGTGGCACTGATGGCCTGCCCTGGACTAGAGCATGGGCTGCGGGGCGGGCTAGGCGGCAGGTGGGCGGCACTGACCGCCTCCTCTGGACAAGAGTGTGGGCGGCGGGCGGGCGGGTGGCACTGATGGCCTGCCCTGGACTAGAGCATGGGCTGCGGGGCGGGCTAGGCGGCAGGTGGGCGGCACTGACCGCCTCCTCTGGACAAGAGTGTGGGCGGCGGGCGAGCGGCACTGCTGGCCTGCCCTGGACGAGAGCATGGGCTGTGGGGCGGGCTGGGCAGTGGGTGGGCAGCACTGACTGCCTTCTCCTCGACGTGAATGCGGGCTGGGCGGCGGGCAGGCGGCACTGACCGCCTCCTCTGGACAAGAGTGTGGGCCGCCGGGCGGGCTGGGCTGGGTGGGTGGGTGGCACTGACTGCCTCCACTGGACAAGAGTGTGGGCCGCGGGGCAGGCTGGGCTGGGTGGGTGGGCGGCACTGACCGCCTCCTCTGGACGTGAGCGTGGGCCGTGGGGCGAGCAGCACTAATGGCCTCCTCCCTCTGCTTGCAGTGCCCCATCGAGTGGTTTCACTTTGCCTGTGTGGACCTGACCACGAAGCCCAAAGGAAAATGGTCAGTATGGCGCCGGCCTTGCTCGTGGGCTGGGCGGGGGCCTGCCTGCTGCGGCAGTCCTGGTGCTCGGGGCTGAGCTGCAGATGGACAGCTGCCCGCCTCACCCAGGGTAGTGGCTGTCATCACCCCTATGTGACAGCGACCTCGAGTCACGCTGGTTTGAACCACTTACACGCGGCTGTTTCTCAGTGGTAAACACTGCAGTACCTCGGGCTCCCTGGTTGGCTGAACCGACGGATGCGGAACCCGGGTGTAAGGAGCCATGGGTGGGGACGGCTGGCTGTAAGTTACGTGTGACTTTCGACTGTAAAGAGCCAGCACCCTGACCCCTGCCTTGTGCAAGGGTGGCCTCCCCCTGACAGCAGCCACTGTGGCTCTCGAGGGAGGCAGAGGTGACTGTGGGTCTAGATGAGGCATGAAGGACTGTCCTCGGGGAAGCTCAGATGGAAGCTGGGGGCCAGGCTTGGGCTGGGCACCTCCGTCCTGGAGGAAGTGTGGGTGGCCGTGCCCTCTGCTCCCGGCCGTGTTCAGGGGCGGCCGCAGCTTTGCTGTGTGTGAGAGCCTGGTCCTGGTGACTGTGCCGAGTGAAGGCCTGGGGACACTGCCCTCCGTGTTCCCACGTACACCCGGTTCCCTCTGGTGACACCGTGTGTGGACACAGGGAATGTGAGCAGCCCGAGGGACCGTCTGTGTCGTCTGCCTGCAGTGGACGGCTGGGCAGGGGTCGCGGGCATGTCCCGGAGCCACGTGTGGTCTCCACCTGGCCGGGCCCTGGCAGGCAGAGCTGGTGGAACCTGGTGGCCCAGAGCAGGCTCAGCGTGGGATAGGGCGGGGTCCTGGGCTGAGCCCCCTGGGAAGAAGGGACGTGTGGGCTGGCCCTGGGGCTGGGAGGCAGGGAAGGCAACTTGGGTTTGATTTTGGACTTGGTGGGTTTGAGTTGTTTGCGGGACTCTTCTGGTAGGCGCTAGAAGATTGTTCCCTTCTGTGTAGGGGAGGGCACGCCCACCACGTGCTAGGAGTAGGGCAGGCTGCACAGATGCGGGGTGGGGCGAGGCGGGGCAAGGTGGGGTGGGGCCCACTCACTCGCCGCCTGAACCCCGGCCTCCCTGCCTCCCTTCCGAGCTGCAGAGTGCAGGCTGCTTCCCACCTGTTCTGCATCCTGAGCCCGTGACCCTCGGTGCAGCGATGTTCCTGGCCCCCCACCCTGGGGCCCTGTGGGCTGCACTCAGGCCCTGGACCAGGTGCTGGGAACCGGGGGTTGGGTGGCCACGTCATAGCGCGCCAGCCGCTCCTCAGGAGGGGCCTCGGGAAGCTGCGTGCCCAGGGTCATGGGACCGCTGAATCCTCCCGGGGCAGGGCGGGGGTCTGCGCCTGCCTGCTCAGGCTGCTCGGCACCTCCAGCGCGCTCCCTCAAGTGCTCGCCCCCCGTGTGGTCCCAGGGGCCCTGTCCTCGCACAGGGAGCACCGACCAGCTTGGGCGACAGGAGTGCTTGTATGTGCACGCCGCTGCGCTCGCTGACTCGGGTCTCCCCTGCCTCGGCACGGACGTTGGGCAGACCGTCCCCTGTGGCAGGGCTGCGCCGTCTGCATCCGGGTCTCTGTGCCAGCGCAGCAGCATCCCGCTGTCCCGGGAGACCGGGAGGTGGGGCCTGGCCTCCTGCGCTCGGGGGCCCCTGAGGGCACCTTTTCTCGTTGCAGGTTCTGTCCGCGGTGTGTTCAGGAGAGGAGAAAGAAGAAGTAAGGCTGGGGTGGACACTGGACCAGAAGAGCAAGTTAATATATTCCCTCATTCATGTTGCAATATTTTACATTCATTTTAAGACTATCTTGTTTCCGACAATGTTTGATAGCTCAGTGGCCAGCTGTCATTCTGGACGTTTCCTTGAACTGACGGGAAGCCACCTGAGCCCTGTCGCACAGAGGAGCAGTCTTGGGGACCTGCCGCAGTGACTCCGTTCTTGTGACTTTCGTATTTCCGACAATGTTTAATAGCTCAGCGGCCAGTTGTCATTCTGGACGTTCCCTTGAACTGACGGGAAGCCACCTGAGCCCTGTCGCACAGAGGAGCAGTCTTGGGGACCTGCCGCAGTGACTCCGTTCTTGTGACTTTCGTATTTCCGACAATGTTTGATAGCTCAGCGGCCAGTTGTCATTCTGGACGTTCCCTTGAACTGACGGGAAGCCACCTGAGCCCTGTCGCACAGAGGAGCAGTCTAAGGGACCTGCCACAGTGACTCCGTTCTTGTGACTTTCGTACAGACCCCTGGCCCTGAGCGTGGCGGTCACCTCCGGTGGCCCCGGGACTCCGTGGGGCGCGTGGCTGGTGCACTGCCGTTGCACTGCATCCGGAGCCGTGAGTCCTGGGGCGGCTCGCCGAGGCCCTGGTGCCCCCGCGGGCACCCCGAGCCTTGCCAGGAGCGGGGGCCTATGGAGCCCAGGACATGCCAGAAGGGCCAGCCCTCCCCAGGCGGGGGTCTGCCTCACTGTGCACTGCCTTCGCCTTCGGACTGCCTGTTCCCTCCATGAGGGGTTTTCTTTCCGGAGTAAACGACTCTCCATTAGCAAACGGGCTTGTCGGTGCCGTGACCGGTACGGATAAGAGACAGCCCAGCGGAAGGGCCGGCCGTCCGTTTCTCCGGGAATTCTGACTCTGTACTGTGAAGATGAGTTATTGTGGTAGCATGAAGATAGTGCTCTGTGTGAATATGAAGTGAGCCCAGGCTGCCGGGAGCTGACCTGAGACCTGTTGACTTGCACAGCAGGTCAGCCGCTTAGACTGCGGGGTGACAATTATGTGATGTGATTTGTGAGCTTCTCGTGCCACAGGAGCAGTTTTGCGTGAAGCCAGGAAACCCGCCTGTCTTTCCTCTGCGATCAGCACGTGGCCTTGGACCTGCCTTGGTGGTCATGGTGGGGGTGGTCCAGGCGTGGACCCCCACGTGTGGCTTCTGCAGGCGGACTCTCCTCTGAAGCCGTCCAGGTGTGTTTGGAAGGCAGCAGGCACGGCGGCTCTGCCTCAGGCGCGGAGTCTGCAACACAGACTGGAGGCCCAGCTTCCCAGTGTGGACGGACCGCGTCCTGTCTGTGAGGAGGGCCGTCGACAGGGACCCATCTGCTTTCCCCTGATGGCCACCTGTCCTGTGCGCTCCCGAGAGCAGAGACCGCGTCCTGTGGGACTGCCACCCGCGGGGCAGCTACTGTCCTACAGGCGACGGGGGCCCTCCCTGGTTCCGCATCCGAGCGCCTTGCGTCTTGACCCTGTCCTCACCAGAGCGAGCTGGCGGCCAGGACTTGCTCTGCGAAGACTGCGGGCAGTCTGTGCAGCGCGTGGCCCTCGGGGCTCCCGCGGGCAGGCGCGGGGTGTGGCTGCTGCTGCCCCTCGGCCCCGGGCTCGTCCCGGCCACGCAGCGCTCCTGAGGAAGGGGCCCGCTGGCACCTGCAGCCTCTGTCTTGTCGGGAAACCCGGGGGAGTTGGTGTTTAGTAACTTAGGTTTTAGGTAGCACGGAAGTTTAAAGATTATGGGGAGTAAATTGTGGAAAAGGTTTTTTTTTTTCAGTCCTTTACCAGTTTTTGTGGATAAGGTAGGTAAGTACAGTACGTTTGTGGTGATTCTTCAGAAGCTCATTTCATCTTCGACCCATTCACATCACTGTTCCCACGGGAGGGGGATTTGTGGACGCAGGTGGACGGCGGTCCTAAGCCTCAGCGGGGTGCCCGCTGCCCCGGCTGTTCCTTAGGAAGGTGACTGACTTCCCTGTCAGAAGCTTTTGTTTAAAGTTGGATGGTGTCACCCTGCTTGTCAGCGTGTAACATGCCATTTGCGGACCTTTTTGGGAAAGTTTCTGTGCTAATGTTTCCAGCGTTTACTTTTGCTGGTTATAGTAACATCACCAAAATAACACGCATGTAGCTTTGGAGAAAATGGAAAACACGAGCAGAACAGAGAGAGTCCCCAGAATGTTTTTGGGCCCCGGCCTAATGCCTCCTGACCATGCCGCTGCCCGCCAGGCGGAAGACGCTGGGGAGGCCGTGTGGTCAGGAGCATCCCGGCCCGCGGGTTTGGCGGGAGCCCACACTGCTTGCCCCTTGCCCCCGTCGGGACACTCACTGGTCTCGGGGGCTGGCGCCAGGGGCAGGCTGGCCACTGCCGCAGCACTCCTGAGCCAGTGAGGCTGCAGGCCCCCAGGGTCCTCCTCGGGGTCTGCTTATGAGGGAAGAGGCTTCTTGTGCAGAGAAGCAGCGTCGTCCATTTCCAGTGCTGCTCATATCTGTCAGCAGTGGTTGAAACATCCTTTTGTTTTCCTGCAGGAGAGCACGCACTGCACTGGTGGGAGCAGGTGTTAAGCCGGGCTCCCGCCTCTGCGGCAGAGCTCGAGGGGCTCATGGCTGGCACATGAGGTCTGTGTGACCATCCCCGCCATGGGCTGGGCCCCTGAGCAGGCGGACGCGATCCTGGTGCTGGCAGGGCCACCTGAGCCAGGCAGCCTCCCGTCTGCCCTGAGGCGGCAGACGCCTGGACGCGCCCCCCCGGGCAGTTGCAGGGGTGCGCAGGACGCTGGCCAGCCGCATGTCAGCCCTGCCTCCTGACCCGTCACTGGCAGCCCTTGGCGAGGACTGCTTCGAGCAATAACACTGTCCAAAGAGCAGCTTCCCTTGTGGTCACAGCCAGGGTGTGCCCTGTGCAGGGCTGGGACACGTAGGGTTTCAGGCTTTCCTCAGCGTTTTGTGAACAGTGTGGTTGGTTTTCATTACCTGTGCCGAGAGGAATTTTAAAATGGGAAGTCTAAGAAAAGCGTTCTCATTCAGGAGAGAGTTCTGTGAAGTTTCCTCCCTGCTAGTATGTATTTGTGGTGTTCATCTTACCACATCTCATCCAAAAAGATGATGCAGCTTTAACCTGAATGTTACATTGTGTTTTCAAGGAATTATTATTGATGTTCTCTTTGTAAAAGAAAGAAATATTGTAAATCTTTTTATTAAATAATGTAAAGATGTATATCTGTATTTTTGGATCATGTTATAGATGATGGATATATTGTTTAACGAATAAAGTATTTTTTGGAACAAACATTTGAGGATGCATCATTTCTGGAAATAAGACTTCAGTGTCGAGAGCTGGGACCAGATGCCGTGTGGACTCTTGAACGGGACATGCAGTGGACAGAGTGGGTGAGTCCCGCCAGGGGCCCGGGCGGGATCCTGGGCCTCAGCTTGGGCCTCAGCTGTTTCATGGCATCAGAAGTTGGTCCCAAGCTCACAAGAAAGATGTGTTCTTAGTGAGGGCACTGGGGGTTGCTTCCTAGGGGCATAAGGTGCCTCCTCTGGAACAGAAGCTTTGCCTTCTAGACCTGCTTGGCGCCAAGGCCCTGTGGCAGCTAAACCTCTCAGGACATTTCCTTGACGAGTGCTAACAGGGTCCATTGAAAGCCAGCTCCGTCACCATGGTGAAAGCATGGCCGGGCACTCACTTTCAGATGAAGCCCAGTTCCCAGACTTGGGTCCTTGCTGGAAGGGAGGCTGTGGATGCCACTGGTCTGTGGTCAGAGTGAGGCCTGTGGTGATTGGGTGATAAGGTGACATTTGTCTGGATGGGTGCCCAGGTCTCTCTCTGGTTACCTCCGCAGTGTCTGTGTCATTGAAATAGGTGGACTTGACCACTGGCAGGATGGCCACGACCCGTGGAGCAAGGGCTGTCATGGTAGGAGGGGCCGGGGGAAGTCTCTGGAGTGTTCTTTTCCTGCCAGGGCATAACCCAAAAAGGCAGGGTGCATTCTAGCGTGCTCCCACTGACTCACTGAAGAGGCGGGCAGGTCTTAGGGAAGAAGGTCTACTGGAGAGGTGGTGAGACCCTGCTGCAACTGCTGTTCCTGATAAGGCATCCTTACCAGAGGAGAACACACACCCTTGGCAGGTGGCTGGTTGTTGATCCAGTCCTAGCTTGTGCTCTCTGCCAATCTGCAGGGACCACCAGGATCTCTGTTCTACTTGGCAGAACCTGCAGCGTGCCTTCCCATCCCGGCCTTGGGCCACGTACACTCGCTGTCTGTCTGTCGTGCCCTCGGCCAGGGGTCATCATCTTGTCGTCCCACAGACGGTCACTCCTGTCAGCCGCACCGAGACAGGCTGCTGGGCCACCTTGGGTGGCTCGGCCCCAGGAGCGCTGGGAACGACAGCCCCATGGAGCTGGGGCTCAGACGTCTGTGGAGACATCTGCTGGCACCCCCGGGGGAGGGGGAGGTGGCTGGGAGCTGGCCCCTGGGTGGCTGGGGCGTGAAACACCCGTCAGGCTGGGAGCCCCCCAGCCTGGTGCCCTGGCTGGCAGAGCCCAACAGGCCCACAGAGCAGATACCCTGGAGCCGCGGGTGGCAGCCTGGCACCGGGCGGGCACAAACTGGAGGGGCTGGAGGAAGTGGCAGTCCTGAGAGGCAGACTCTGTGTCCTTCGGGGGTGGTCTGGGCCTTCCTGAAGCGGGATCGCCCCAGCCCAGATCCTAGGCCCCCTCACTTGAGTCACTGGGGTTCTGTTCAAGATGTTTGGGCAGCAGCTTCGGGGCGCCCTCGGGCTCTGCCTGCAGTGCATTCCTGACCCGCAGGGATGTCTCCCCTTCTGCCAGAGCTGGGGCCAGGGGACCGGGGCTCTGGGTGCCAGCGTTCCCCGAAACTGAGAGGGTGAGCCACGGTCCTCTGGGGATCTTTTAGAAGGGCAGAGTTATGCTCTGGGGTCAGGCGGGATGTACACGTGGGCCAGTCTTCGTGGAAGGGGTGGGAGCGTGTGCAGGGACCACGCTAGACGCTGCCAACGCGGCTCAAGGCCAGCTGACCTCACGGGGGAAGCTGGATGAAGCCGGGCATCACGGCGAAAGGGGCGGGGTCATGGACGGGCGGGGTCCGAGGCAGAGGGCGGGCCCGTGAGTGGGCGGAGCCAGTAACAGGACTGGGCCGGGGTGGGCGGAGTCCCCGAGGGCCTCCGGCGCAGGCGCAGTCCCTCCGCCCCGCCCACTCTCCGCGGCGGCACGAAGCTTGCGGCGGGGACGTGGACGTGAGTGCGTGCGCGCGGCCGCTCGGGGTCTCGGTGGGGCGGCGGGCGCCCGCGGGACCCTCGGATCCCACCGCCCGGGCTGATCCGGTCACGCGATCGCGCAGGCCGCGCGCCCGGGGCCTTCCGGACGAGCCTGGGTGACTCTGCGTGCCCGTGGCGCCGGCGCTTGGTCTTCACCCCCTGGCTGGGGCGACCGCTCCTGGTCCCCGCTGGTCCCCGGTGGCTCCCGGTGGTCCCCTGACGGGCGTGACCCCAGGCGCCCGGCCCCCAGCGGAAGTCCGGCCCCGAGCTCGCCGCTCACCTGCCTTGCGCAGCCCTGAACTGTCGGGGGTGGGGTCGGCGTCCGCGCATCCTTTAAGCCTCACCCCCTCTGGTGCGGTGCCTGCTGCTTCCAGGCACCCAGGGGCTCCGACCGTGTCCTCAAGGTCACTCGGAGGTGTGACCCTGCGCGAGGGCGCTGTCCCTCGTGCTGCCCAGGTGGTCTGAGCGCCAGGTGAGCTGGAAGCAACCGGAACACCGGTGCGCCACCCCGCTCCCCTCCCCGGGGGCTGCCTGACGAGTGTGCGCGCTCCCGGGCCCCCAGGGCCGGGGCCCAGAGGAGCTTCCCTCTGCCCCCCGCTTTTTGTGAACTTGTAGCATATCCACAAACATAAGATTTATTTTTTTAACCAGTAGTTCCCTGGTGGCTCCGTGGTAAAATACAAATGCAGGAGACACTGGTTCACTCCCTGGGTCGGGAAGATTCCAGGGAGAAGGAAACGGCAACCCTATCAAGTATTCTTGCCTGGGCAATCCCAGGGACAGAGGAGCCTGGCTGGCCACAGTCCATGGGGTCGCAGAGTCGGACATGACTTCAAGATTGAACCACCACGTGCATGTGTAATGTGCGCGCTCAGTCGTGTCCAACTCTGCGAACCCAGTCCATGAACTGTAGTTTACCAGGCTCTTCTGCCCATGGGATTCTCCAGGCAAGAATACTGGAGCGGGTTGCCATTTCCTTTCCCAAAGGATCTTCTTGACCCAGGGATTGAACCCCATGTCTTTTGCATTTCCTGTATTGGCAGGCAGGTTCTTTACTAGCTGAGCCACCAGAGAAAAATGGCATCTGTTCCTTATAGCAGCTGAACTGCTTGTTCCTTGTGAAGGAAGAGGGGCTGAAAGGGAGGCGAGGTTGTTGCAGATGTTAAAGCTAACACAGGGGTGGGGGTGGGGGTGGCCTCAGCCAGGGGTGTGCGTCTGGTGACTTGTCAGGGGGTGACTCCTGCCGGGGGCGCGAGCTGCATCAGCTGAAGGCCTCGCGTCCCTTGTCCCCGCCCAGCCCACCGCTTCCGGGTGGTCCAGATCTCACTCTGCCACCGCAGCCGTGGAAGCCACTGTGTGTTTCTGGGCCCTGCTGAGCTGTCTCCCCCCGCTGCAGGTGCTTCCCTTGTATTAGCTCCGTGCTTTTCCAGAGTCCTAAGTCCGATCACTTACTTTGTAGGGCAGGAGTGATGATGCCCCGTCTGGTGCCCAGGTGGCCTGTGTGGCTCTTCTGCTGGCGGGCAGCCTGCGTCCAGGGAGCCTCTGTGCGACAGAGGATGTGGGCAGGTCCGTCAAGGATCCCTGGGCTGGGCGGCCTGCGAGGGGTCTGGGGCACCGGCCCCCTGGTTCGACGAGGCAGCTCCTCGGCCTCCTCCCGTGCTCCTGAGGTGACGCTGACCCCAGAGCGCTACCCTGTGCGGCGGCTTCCCTTCTCCGTGGTGTCTGAAGACGATCTGGCTGCCCTGGAGCACATCGTCCCTGGCAGGGTCATCACAGACCCGGAGGAGCTTGAGGCTCCCAACGTGGACTGGCTGAGGATGGTCCGAGGTGAGTGAGGGTCTGTTCACACTTCATGCTTGGCGTGGGCAGAGTTGAGGAACAGCCTGAACTCCAGGTGGCCAGTGGTGAGCACTGGGTGCAGGAGCTGTGGGTGGTGTCACAGACACTTTTCATATGCAGGACATCTGCAAATTAAGATAAAATAGCTGACCCCCCCCCCTTACCCTACCCCCAGCTGCTCTGAGGTGGGTGTGTGGTTAACTACTACTCACTTCCTCAGAACGCTTTAGTTCAGTTCAGTCACTCAGTGGTGTCCAACTCTTTGCGACCCCATGGACTGCAGCACGCCAGGCCTCCATCACTAACTCCTGGAGTTTACTCAGACTCATGACCATTGAGTCTGTGATGCCATCCAACCATCTCATCCTCTGTCGTCCCCTTCTCCTCCCGCCTTCAATCTTTCCCAGCATCAGGGTCTTTTCCAATGAGTCAGTTCTTCGCATGAGGTGGCCAAAGTAATGGAGTTTCAGCTTCAGTGTCAGTCCTTCCAGTGGATATTCGGGACTGATCTCCTTTAGGATGGACTGGTTGGATCTCCTTGAAGCCCAAGGGACTCTCAAGAGTCTTCTCCAACCACTTTTGAAAAAAGCATCAATTCTTTGGCGCTTAGCTTTCTTTATAGTCCAACTCTCACATCTGTACATGCCTACTGGAAAAACCATAGCTTTCAGTAGACCTTTGTTAGCAAAGTAATGTTTGCTTTTTAATATGCTGTCTAGGTTGGTCATAGCTTTGCTTCCAAGGAGCAAACGTCATTTAATTTCATGGCTGCAGCTAATGCCTGGGCTGATATATAACAAGGAACCGCAAACTGGGCTCAAACTACTGGGGTGTCTCCTCTCTGTTCTCAGGTGTGGGTAGGGCTCCCTCTAGTGGAGAGTCTCTCCTGCCTCTTCCAGCTCCTAGGGCTCCAGGTGACCTTGGCTGTGACAACATCGTCCAGTCCTCGTCCCGCCTCACACAGCCTCTCCTTGTGTTTCCCTCTCTGTTCTCTTATGAGGTCACCTTTCCTTGGATTGGGGTACCACCCTCATCAGGATGATCTCAAGTTTAGATCCTTAACTTAATTACATCTGTAAGGACCCTTTCTCCAAGGAAGGTGACGTTTGTGGGTTCTGCGGGGTGGGGTGTCTACATGTCTTTTGGGGGGCCTGTTGTCCCCTCTGCAGCTTGCTTGGGCAAGATGCAGGCCCTGCCGGATGGCCTGACCGCCCCAGCCTCCCTCTCCTCCAGCCACACCCCCTGCACCAGCTTGGAGATTCTCCTTCTGGACCCAGCTCGCCTTCTTGGTAGCAGGTTTCCTAAGGCCTTGCGTTGTCTTCCCTGGTGCTCAGATGGTAAAGAATCCGCCTGCAGTGCAGGAAACTCAGGTTCGATCCCTGGGTCAAGAAGACCCCCTGGAGAACGGAATGGCAGCCTACTCCAGTATTCTTGCCTAGAAAATCCCATGGACAGAGGAGCCTGGCGGGCCACAGTCCATGGGGTCACAAAGAGTCGGACACGACTGAGCGACTAACAGTTTCACTTTTGTGTTGTATCCTGAAGTGATTTCAGAGATAACATGACCTACTTAGTTACACAAACTTGCTGCATATTAAGAAGATGTGGAAGACAGTTTACAACACGATGGCATATTTAAGCCTGAAGTGCTAGGACACGCTGGGTGTCCAGGTCCTTAGGCTGGGCCTGGAGTCAGCGCAGTCCAGACTGAAGGCGAACCGTGGAGGGTGTGCTGGGCTTATCTACCGGGCGCCCTCGATGGAAGGCGTCCAGCCCCGCCCCACACAGAGCCCCCTTCTGAGCGCAGGGCAGCGTGGTGTCTCAGAGACCGAGACAGGAGGGACGTCCCTGAGGAACGTGGGGGGCCTGCAGTCCGTGGGCAGTGTGAATGCTGGGCACAGCTTGTTCTGCGGGCCACTGGGCTCGAGGAGGCAGCTCTGAGTCCCGGAGCAGAAAGTCTCTGCGGCCTGACCAGCAGGCTCCTGCCGAGGGTGGGGCAGGAGGTGTCAGCTCTGCAAGGTCCTATGGAAGCAGCCCCAAGGCTGCGTGTGCTGACCCCGAGTGGTGTGCGCTGACCCCGAGGCAGTGTGTGCTGACCCCAAGTGGTGTGTATTGACCCCGAGGTGGTGTGTGTTGACCCCAAGTGGTGTGTGGTGACCCCGGGTGGTGTGCGCTGACCCTGAGGTGGTGTGTGCTGACCCCGAGGTGCTGTGTGCTGACCCCGAGGCTGTGTGCACTGACCCCGAGTGGTGTGCGCTGACCCCGAGTGGTGTGTGCTGACCCCGAGGCGGTGTGCGCTGACCCTGAGGCGGTGTGCGCTGACCCCGAGTGGTGTGTGCTGACCCCGAGGCGGTGTGCGCTGACCCTGAGGCGGTGTGCACTGACCCCGAGTGGTGTGTGCTGACCCCGAGTGGTGTGTGCTGACCCCGAGGTGGTGCGTGCTGACTTTGAGGCTGTGTGTGCTGACCCCGAGTGGTGTGTACTGACCCCGAGATCTCTGGACACAAACTTGACTGGGGGACCAAGAGCCGGGAGCACTGCTGGGTTTGTGTGTGCCTAGATGAGGCCGTGGGGTGAGGAGGGTGCCTCCGGTTCCTCAAGCCCAGAGTCTCCTTGAGTGAGAGAGAGGGCTGCAGGGGAAGCAGAGCAGGGGCAGGAAGGCTCCACAGCGGTGGGGGCAGACGGCTGACTGAGAGGATGGTCCGGAAGGGCCCATGGAGGGCCCACTGGAGTTAGGCCATTGGAGCCCTGGGCGTGCTGCTGGCAGGTGGCGGGCAGGGTGGGGAGGGCTGGGTCAGGGTGGCCCACTGCGGGCACAGCAGGATGCTCAGAGAGGGAGGGAGGCTGCAGTGGGGAGTGGGGAGGGAGTGGGGGTTGGGGCACCCCGACCCTGTGTGGCTGACCCTTCTGCCTGTTCCCTTGCCAGCCTCTCCAGGCTGGATGCTCCTTCCTTCCCGTCCTGGGAGCTTCCCCAGAGTTGCCTCCGATGACTTCTGCTCTGGGCTTTGCTCTCTTTGTAGCCTACCCTTATTAACACGTTGGACCATTTTCTTATCCTTTTCCCCATTAGAAAGGTAACTCCATGGGGCGGGAGAACTTTGTTTTTACTCTTTGTGCCTGGGCACACTGTGAGCACTTAGGTATTATTGGGAAACGCAATGAGTGAATGAAACCGACTGGAGCCTCACGGGTGAACAGGGTCCCTGGACTCTGCTGCCCTGAAGGACCTGGAGGCCTGGGCAGACACGGTTCATTTGATGAAAAACAAATGAGAAATGGCTTTCATAATAAGAAAATAAGGTAGAAACTACAACCTGATCTCAGAGCATCGTAAAAGTCAGTGACGCAGCAGGAAGATGTGCGAGACAGCCTCTTGTCCTCCTGCAGCCTCTTAGCTGCTTAAAGCACTTTCCGCAAAACTGAGAGCATAAGAGAGAAACTTCACTGTCTTGGAGGCAGTGGTCAGGAATGCCAACAGATGAGGTCACGACTGGGCATCAAATAACTTGTGATAACCAGGAAATGAGAGTCCACAGCCTACTCCGCTGTGGATCTGATAGCCCAGATTATAAATGCACGAGGTGGAGAAGGCCCCTTCCTGGAGCAGAAGGTCAGCTTATGAGTGCGGGTGAATGGGTGCATTAGGAAGCATCTCCCTGAGAACAGACTCGGGTGAAGATGATCCACAGACACTGAAGCTCATGGGCGTCCGCTCGCAGGGTGCCGGGTGTTCATGTGGCCTCAGGTGTCCCCAAACACAGGTTACTTCCCTGGGAAACCCAGTCACTTGCAGTGAAGACTCCAGGCCCCTGCTGCTAAGGTCCCCAGGCCCACGGGCCCTCCTCCTCCTCAGCGATTCTGGCTCTAGGCCTGGAGGCTGGCGGGCGTGCTTCCCCGGGAGGCGGGACGCCCCACATGAGTGACCGTGGCTTCTATCCCGCAGGCTCCAGCAAGGTGCTGCTGAGGCCCCGGACGACCCAGGAGGTGGCACACATCCTCAGGTAGGCGCTCTGCCCGCCCCACTCCCTTGTCACTAGCGCGGGGCCGAGAGCACACAGAGCCCGCGGCCACGCAGGCGGCGACGGGAGGGCTGGCCGAGCAGGGGAGGGCGGGGCGACGGGAGGGCGGGGCGACGGGAGGGCGGGGCCGAGCAGGCTGAGCGGACCCGCCGCCTCCAGGGGGCGCCGGGCAGCCCTGTCGCCCATTGCAGGGGCGGGCACAGGCCTTTTCTTGAAAAAACGTCTGCTTTGATGCTTTCTATTCCTACACGCTCGTGTTTACTATAGAAAAATTGGAAAACATACAAAGCCATAAAGAAAAAAAAGTTGCAAAAGCAACCAAAATTTTCCACTCCGAAGATAACCACTGATGACATTTTGGTTTGTCAGCTCAGCACTTTCCTGCACGTGTGTGGGTTGTTAAGCATCATCACATTGTATCTCCCATGTGATGGTCTTTTCCCTTCCACGTGGCAATGCCCGTGGTCTGATTCCTATTCCACATCACTGTCGATGCGCGGAAGGTGAGCACCCGTGAGTGCTCTCTCCCCGCCGCCCCGTGGAGGTGTGTGCAGGGACACCTGGCCCTGCTCCGACTGAGCTTGGGCTGGAGGCTGGCCGCCTGCCGGGTGGCTCACGTGACGCAGGTGGGCAGCTTGCCCCTCTGGGTGGGGGCCCCAGTGCCCAGATCCTGACCCATCAGGGCCCGATCCCTTCAGGTCTTTGCTCGGTAGGAGGCTGGCTGGGGACGAGGTGCTGCTGGTGACTGACCTGCCTCTGAAGAGCAATGGGCAGGGGAAGGGTGGGCAGCGCAGGATGAAGGGGAGCAGAGATGTGGGGTGGGGGTGGGAGGGGCCCCGAGTGCCCGGGGCCGCAGTTGTCTGAGGTGAGCAGGGAGGGCGGCAGTGGGCACTCTGTCGGCGCTTGGAGGAGCGGCCTCGGGGCGGCCTGGGCCTCGTCCATGACCTGGGAAGACCATGGCTGCCTGCTCCCTCCGCGGTTTGCCGGGGTCACTTGCCCCTCAGACTCCTGTCGTGTGTGGGGACGGAGGAGGCACCCCCTCGAGTCTATGGCAGGAGGCTTGGTGGTGGGAGAGGCTGGGGTCTCACGGCCCTGATGGCGTCCCCCCCGGGGTGCTGGGGGAGTGGGAGAGGGCCCTGACCCTGGTCCTCGGCGTGTCCCAGGTACTGTCACGAGCGGAACCTGGCCGTGAACCCACAGGGGGGCAACACGGGCATGGTGGGTGGCAGCACGCCGGTCTTCGACGAGATCATTGTGTCCACTGCCCTCATGAACCAGGTCCTCAGCTTCCACGACGTGTCAGGTAAGGCTGGCCACTCCCGGGACTTCCCTCTCGGGCCCGGGGCTGGGCTGGGCGGGGGGGCCCGGGTCCGGGGTTGAGGGAGGAGCAGCTGCCCCTCTGCCTGAGCCAGGAGCCCAGGCCCCTTGGTCCTCGGGGCGACTTATACCCTGGACTTGAGCTGTGCTGCGGCCCCTCCTGGCCACGCCAACCCTTCTTGAGGCCTGCGGGGCATGTGCGGGGCTCCACGGTTTCGAAGCTCCAGGCCCCACAACTGTGTCGGTGCCTCTTGGGCAGGACCCCTGGGCCAATCATGCTCTCTGGCCAGGGCACCTGGACACTGGGGAGCTGGGCAGCATCCCAGCCTCCACACTCAATGCCAGCACCATCTCCAACCCAGATTATCTCCAGACTTGTCACGTGTCCCCTGGGGCAGAATCCCACCCACACTTGAGGGCCCCAGCCTTGTAGGAACCCCTTTTCACTGCTCCCTTGCATGAGCCTGTGTGTGTGAGCCATGTTCCCCCCACGTGGCCTCACTGGCCTTTCCTCTTTTCTCATAAAGGCATCTCCTGGGGGAGGGACAGGGCATACCTGTTTTCCTCCTCGCCCTGGTTCCTGGGTGGGCAGACGCCCCTCCTGGGATTTTTGGCCTGATGGGCTCCCCGAGCTGAGCCTGAGGGCCCCCGCGGGGGCTCTGCTTGCTTGGCAGGGGTCTTGGTCTGCCAGGCGGGGTGTGTTTTGGAGGCGCTGAGCCAGTACGTGGAGGAGCGGGGCTTCGTCATGCCTCTGGACCTTGGGGCGAAGGGCAGCTGCCACATCGGGGGCAATGTGGCCACCAACGCGGGCGGCCTGCGGTTTCTGCGATATGGCTCCCTGCGGGGGACAGTCCTGGGCCTGGAAGTGGTGAGCTGGGGACACTTGCTGCTGGGCGCTGGCCCTGCTTCTAGCGACCTGGCCGGACCTGCTCTGGTTCCTGGGTTGGTCCCAGGGGGCCGGCCTTTCCCAGTGGTCAGCATGCGAGGTCCCTGGTGAGACCCCCTGGCTCAGAGGTCAGGTGTACCCTTGCTCCCATGCATGGCACCCGGGGTGTGCAGGCCCAGGCCTGGGGCTGCCCTCTCGGGCTTCAGGTGGGCAGGGAGGCCACCTCGGGGTGCGGCCTAGTCTCCACTGGGCCCCACCCAGGCTGTGGGGGTTAGACGCAGCACCCCGCTCTCTGGCTCCCCACAAGGCGACGACGCACCTCCTGCCCCTGTGGAGGGCTGCTGTGGCAGCTGTTGCCCTGGGCAGTCTCCTGGACCGGTGGCATTCCGCCCGCCAGCTTCCAGGGGCTCGTGACCGGAGGAGCCCAGTCAGGCCCCCGTCACGGCTCCCAGCGGTTTTCTAAAGCCCAGACCCTGTGTTTACCCAAGGAGGGGGCCACTTCCGTCTGATAAATCACAAGGTTCCCGTAGCTTTGTTCTCTGGCTGCAGGTTGTTGTTTTGTCAGTCACTTGCTCGCTTTTGCAAGTTGTTTTACTAAGCTTCTGACTGAATTCAGATAGGATTAGAGCGTGTGATTGAAGTGCCTGTGGATGAGGAGTGCAGGGCTGGGGGCACTGGTGCACTGCCTTTCCCTGCCTTCCTGCACCCTGGGTGCTCCCTGCTCCATCTCAGATGCTCCCCACTCAACCGAAGGTGCTCCCCACTCCACCTGAGATGCTCCCTGCTCCATCTCGGGTGCTCCCTGCTCCATCCCGGGTGCTCCCCACTCCACCTGAGATGCTCCCTGCTCCATCCCGGGTGCTCCCCACTCCACCCTAGATGGTCCCCCCTCCATCCCGGGTGCTCCCCTGCTCCATCCCGGATGCTCCCCTGCTCTGCCTCAGGTTCCCTGCTTCGTTCAAGGTGTTACCCCCTCTGTCCTGGGTGCTCCCCACTCTGTCCTGGGTGCTCCCCCTCCACCCCGGGTGCTCCCCCGCCCCCCTCCTCCGCCTGGGGGCTCTCTCTCAGGGTGGCGTGGGGCCAGTGCTGACGCCATCTCTAGGTGCTGGCCAACGGTACTGTCCTGAACTGCCTCACGTCTCTGAGGAAGGACAACACGGGCTACGACCTGAAGCAGCTCTTCATTGGGTCAGAGGGCACCCTGGGGGTCATCACGGCCGTGTCCATCTTGTGTCCACCCAAGCCCAGCGCTGTGAACGTGGCCTTCCTGGGTAGGCACCCTCCGTCAGCCTCCGGGGGGTTCTTGGGCGGCACTGCCTGTGCCGGGGTGGCGGGGCGGGGGGGCTGTCTGCAGCTGCGTGGGCCGGCCTTCCCGTTCCTCCTGCTTTTCCCTCTCCCCTCAGGCTGGGACTTGGCCTTGGTGCGCACGGTAGGGTCTGCGCAGGGCGCGCTTTATTCTGTAAAAGGACCAGGGCTTCGCGCATCTCATCCAGCTGGTGTTTGTTATTCTTAAATAACAGTTTATGCTGTAGGGTAAAGACCAAAAGGAAGCAAAACTAAAAGATAAATCAGGAGAGCTGGGTTTGATCCCTGGGTTGGGACGATCCTCTGGAGAAGGAAATGGCAACCCACTCCAGTCTTCTTGCCTGGAGCATCCCATGGACAGAGGAGCCTGGCGGGCTGTGGTCCCTGGGGTCACACAGAGTCGGACACGACTGAGCGACTTTCACTCCCTGTCACTCACTCACTCACTCACGCTGTAAGATTTGCAGGGAAGCAGCGTTTGGTGCCAGGTCCAGGGCTGCGTCTGTTCATCTCGGGGCCGTTAGTCCACCTGGTGGGTCCAGTGGCTCACCCCCAACCCCTGCTCCTGGACCACCGTCTCTGCGAGTGCGTTGGGGCCCCTCCAGCTGTGCAGCTTCTTGGCTCCCCTGGCCCAGGGCCCACGTGCGTGCTCGCTGTGCCTCTTCTCCCCCTCCCCTGTCCACCCGTGCCAGGCTGCGGCCCGCGGCTCCCCCACCCGCGGTCTTGTCCTGATTCCGTCTGGCGTGCTGGTCGTCACTGTAATCTCACATTCACCCTTCCTGCGCTCCTGCGGTGGGCTTTCCCGGCCCCGCGCTGTGAACACATCCTGGTTGCTCCCATCACGGACGCCCGTGGCTGTGGGGTCCGTGTCGAGTTCCTGTCGAGTCTGTCTGGAACGTCTCCCTCCTCCCCTTCCCTGGAAGGCGGCCCCGGCGTCTGGTGTCTCCCATCCTGTGGGAGCCGCGCTCCTCACCGCTCCGTGGTTGGCGGTGGCGGGTCGGCATCCCCTGCGGCCACCCTGAGGGGCTGTCTCCCTTTCTTTGGCCGACGTAAATATTTCATCTTTTCCTTTGGTTGTTTATGGGTCCTGGTGTGTCTCCTGTGAGAGTGCATTTCTTTGTTTCTGGAACTTCCTAAAGCCCCCACTTCCAGAAGCTTCCCTCCACCGCATTCTCAGCAGCCACCCCGGCCCCCGCTCCTCCCAGCACGGTGATGAGATGCATGAGAGGACCTTCTGGGCTGTCGGTCTCCACGTGTCTTAGCCGCGCGGGTTTCCCTCCAGCCCCTCTCTGAGCTGCGTTCCGGAAGCTTTCCTCCGATCTGTCTCCAATTTGCTCAGCTCCCTTTGCTGGGCTTCACAGGCCGCTCCCGGCTGCTCCTTGGCCCCACAGAGTGGGTCCCAGCCCCGACCCTCCTCCCTGCCCTCCCCGGGACTCCTCAGTGCCTCCCAATCCCTGCCCAGAAGGGCCTCGCACACCCCCGTGCCCACCAGGCTCTCCTGGGCCCACCCTGCCTGCCCACACATCGACGTCCGCGCCCTGCCCCGGGTGCTGTGGTGCCGCGGAGAGCTGGGGGCCAGGACATGTGCCCTGAGTGGCTTGTGGGGCCTGGGGTATCATAGAGACACAGCCAAGTTGCTTCCCGACGGGCCAGTTTCTGGCCGTGTGTTTGCGGACTTCAAGTGGCTGCTGGCAGGGCGGGTTGGTTTTGCTGCTTGAAGGGCGGCGCGGGTGGCCTGTGGCGAGGCCCCGTGTCTGCGTGCCAGTCTGCTTGTCCTCTCACCATGCCCGTTGCAGGCTGTCCAGGCTTTGCTGAGGTTCTGCAGACCTTCCGCACCTGCAGGGCGATGCTGGGCGAGATCCTGTCTGCGTTTGAGTTCATGGACGCTGAGTGCATGAAGCTGGTCAGGCTCCACCTCGGTCTCTCCTGCCCCGTGCAAGGTACTGTCCCCTCTGGCAGGCGGTGCCCGCCACACCTTTTGCGCTGTTTGGCGTGTGGGTAATGGAAGGTGCCAGGCCTCCAGCCTGTCCACGGAGTGGGGGCGGCAGGGAGCGCAGCGGTTCTGGCGGCCCCGTCGCTGTTGAGGGCGGGGTTCCCCCTGAGATCCCTTCCCCTGCAGAGCTGGGTCAGATGCTGGCAGTTGTGCTGGAGCTGCAGGGTCTCTGGAACAGCCAGACGCAGTCAGGACCCTCCGCCGGCTCCTCAGCTGGGAGAAGTATCCCCCCACAACGTGCTGGCCCCCGGAGCTCAGCCAGCTCGTTCTGATTTAGCCGACGAGCTCGTCACGCCTGGTTCTTGAGCCCATGCGCTGTGTGCATGTGTGTAAACCCGCACAGCTGCGGGTCCTGGCGCTCTCACTCCTGAAACTGACCAGAGGAGGTGGTCCTGGTCTCACCCCAGGCCTCCCTTCCGGAACCGCAGCCCTCAGCACAGCCCCCATCCTGGAGGCCGCCAGTCCAGGACCAGGGCTCCACGGGGGCTGGGTTCTGGTGAGGGTCCTCACGTGGCATCTTCTCTGTGTGTGAGGGCCTGCAGAAGTAGAGGGTCCCTTGGGGTGGGGGTGGGAAGGTCCCTGGTGTGAGTGGGGAGTCTCTCATGGGGTGGAGGGCCCCTGGGGGTGTGGAGGGCCCCTGGATGCACAGAGCACCCCCGGGGAGTCATCGACCTCGGCAGGCACCACGCCTCCGCTTACCCTGTGGTTTGATGAGAGGGGCCCTGCCCTCCACGGCGCGGTCCCGCCCCAGCAGCCCGGCTCTGCCGTGTCTCCGGGGGCACTGTCTGTCTTATAGCGGAAGACCTGTTTTTGAGCCGCAGTAGCCGGTGGCTGCTCTGTGGGTGACCCCGGCGCGTCGGGAGGTGCTGGAGCCCCCTGGCCCTGGCGGTCCCGCCCCAGCCTTCCCCTGACCGCCGCTCCCTGCTCTCCCTGCCCCTGCCCTTCCAGAAAGCCCCTTCTACGTCCTCGTCGAGACCGCGGGCTCCGGGCCGGGGCATGATGCCGAGAAGCTGGACCGCTTCCTGGAGCAGGTGCTGGATTCGGGGCTGGTAACCGACGGGACCCTGGGCAGCGACGAGAGGAGGATCAAGGTGGGCGATGCCCACCATGTGCTACAGTGAGAGGGGCTGTGGCTGGGGACCCACCTACCGGCCGCCCTGCTAGAACGTGCTTGGTGTCAGGGTCTGTGGACTGGGGGGTGGCTGGGCAGGGCGTGGGGGCTCCCTGGGAGGGGCTTCACCAGAGGGTGAGGAGGGTGGGCCTGGCCAGGGGGAGGCCGCTGTCACCGTGCAGACGTGGGCGCTGGGGGGCCACGCTTGCCATTCGGGGGCTGGGGCAGAGGGCCCGACCACCCCTCCTGTCCCCGCCTGGCCCTCCGGTCTGGGCTCCTGGATGGCCCTCACCTCCTGACCCGTGATTTCAGTCCTGCTCCCCATCCTAGTGACCCACCACCTTCCTGTCAGCTGCTCTGGCCGCTCCTTCCTGTGAGGCTGGGCTTGCTGGGCTGAGTCCAGGGGGCTGTGTCCTGGGGGGGGATGGGGGCTATGTCCTGGGGAGGATGGGGGCTGTGTCCTGGGGAGGATGGGGGCTGTGTCCTGGGGAGGATGGGGGCTGTGTCCTGGGGGCTGTGTCCTGGGGAAGATGGGGGTTGTGTCCTGGGGGGGATGGGGGCTGTGTCCTGGGGGGCATGGAGGCTGTGTCCTGGGAGCGGTGCATCCTCTCCCCACCAGGGCCCAGTGCTGGGGCTTGCCTCCCATGTGTCCCCCTAAGTGCACTCTGTCTGTTGCCTGTGAATGAGGAATCACTGGGCCTCGGGCCTGAGAGCTGGGCCCTGTCCCTCCGGGCACAGGACCCGGGCACACGTGATGGGGGGCCCAGCTCCAGCGGCCCTGGCTCCATCTGGATGCACCGAGCTCCAGGCTGCTGTGCGGGGCGGGTGGGTGGCCGTGTTCCAAGCTCGGGGCCAGAGTGGGTCCCACCCCAGGGGTCACGCTGCCTGCCTTGGTGCCCTGTTCTCAAGCGTTCGCGTCCGGGGGCCTGGCAGTGACACGGGGTGGGGGTCGGGGGTGTTTGAGCCTGGATAGGCTGGGGGAGCAGCGTTAGCTCTGCAGGGCACAGAGGCGTTGCAGATGGAATGTTCTAGAGAGAGTGGGTTTGGAGCAGTGGGCGGAATGGGCGGACAAGGGGCCTGCAGCTCTGTGGCCGTGTCGGGACATGAGGGCTTGAGGAGGCCGTGCTGGGCGGGCAGGGCTGCTGGGCTCAGGCCGCCCTGTGCAGGGATGTGGCGGGCCCTGGGTGTGGGAGGAGCATCAGGCCAGGACGATGGTTGGGGCGCCCAGGCGCAGGAAGGGCACGACCCATGGTGCTGAGCGACTGGGGAAACGCGGACACCCGCTGGGTATCCGTGCCGCTGAGCTCAGGCCGCCCTGTGCAGGGATGTGGCGGGCCCTGGGCGTGGGAGGAGCATCAGACCAGGACGATGGTTGGGGCGCCCAGGCGCGGGAAGGGCACGACCCATGGTGCTGAGCGACTGGGGAAACGCGGACACCCGCTGGGTGTCCGTGCTGCTGAGGAACTGTTCCTTTCTCAGGGGTGACTACTGCACTGTGGGCTTGTTAAAAAAGAAACGAAAGAAGTGATGTTTTCCCTTACCCAGAAAGCTGCCTCGTCTCGAGGTTTCCTGCGATGTGGTGGGGGGACGTGGAGGATGGGGGGGGGGGACGAGACGGCCCCTGGGGACACCCTCCCATCTGTCTGTGACGGGAAGGGATGTTGTGGGGCCCTGGGAAGGGTGTGGGGCCGTGGTGAGGTCCCCACCTCTGTCCCCGGGCCGGGGGTGCCCCTCTGTCTGCCTCACCCCCACCTTGCCCGGCTGATCCCGGGTCACAGGGTCAGTGCTGCTTGTCCCTGAGGGGCCCTGGGTGTCTGCCGCCAGGGGCTGCCCAGTCGTGTCCGGGGCCCCCGTCTAGTCCAGTGTGGATTCTCGGATGGAAGCCGCATCCCTGTCACGACACGGGACGTTTCTGTCACCTGGGGGTTCCCTCCCGACCCCGGGGTCACCCTGCAGCCCTGCCCGCTCGGGGTGACTGTGCCCATTCCCCTTCCAGATGCTGTGGGCACTCAGGGAGAGGATCACCGAGGCCCTGAGCTGCGACGGCTACGTGTACAAGTACGACCTCTCGCTGCCCCTGGACAGGCTCTACGACCTCGTGGGCGACCTGCGTGCCCGACTCGGCCCGAGCGCCAAGCGCGTGGTGGGCTATGGACACCTGGGTGAGCACAGCCCGCGGGGCGGGGGGCATGCCTGGGGCATCCCGGGAAGGCCCACCCTGGGAGCGTGGGCTCGGGGCTTGGCTGGGGCATGGGGCTGGCCTGATCACAGGGGTCTCGTGTTTGAGGACGAGCTCTGACCCTGCCCTCCCTCCAGAAGAAAGGGTCTTAAAACCAGTTCCGGTCATTATTGTGTGCAGAAGAGTCACGCTTATAAGTTATTGATTCACAGGAAGGAGCAATTTCATCCCCCTTGATTCTCAGCAGCCTTCAGGACCGGGTGTCTCAAAGCCCCGTCTCTTCCCAGGTGTGGGGCGCCGTCTGCCTGGGGCCTCCGCTGTCCTTTCCGTAAGGTGGGCCCAGTTCCGCCTCCCGGGACTGTATGTGGGGGCCCTGAATGCGTCACGTGGAGGAATTCCACTCTGGAAATTGAGACTGATTGCTGAATTTGCTGAATGCTCTTTCTGCGTCTGCCCGGGTGCCGGGCTCCGGTTTCCCGTTGACCCCCTGCAGGGCTCGTCTCTCTGGACCCGGGGATGAGTGGGTCTGTGTCTCCGGGTCAGCCCAGTGTGGCCTGGACCCTTTCTCCGTCTTGTCTCAGCCCGCTGACTGACCCTGCGGAGGACCTCCTCAGCCCTACACTGTCAGGTTCCCTGTCTGTCCAAGCTGGAGGTTGGCCAGTCATAAAGCGAGCTGGGGGTCGTCTCGGGAAGCGTCTGGCAGGTTGGAATTCCTCCTCTGTGAATGCTGAGTACAACTTGCAGATGAAGGCACTTGGGCCTGAAGGTTTTTGTGGGTGACTTTTGGCGGGGGCAGTTTCTTTAATGACTACAGGACCCTGCCAGTTCCTTTTCTTCAGAATTGACTGTTCATTTTTTTCTGGCCTTTTGTCTGTCTCTTCTAAGATTCTGAGTGTCTGGCATCGCATGGTTCTTATTATTTCTTTGTGCCATGTCCAGCACTTGCGGAAGGGGACTGTTTAACTCCGGATTTGGATTGTTTCTTATCTCTGTACAACCCGAAGGTTGTGAGTTGTTTTCTTTGGGACCTTACCGAGAGCTCTAGGCAGGGAGCGGGCTCTCCGATGGTGCAGAGGGCCTGCTCCCGGAGGCAGGGGAGGAGCCAGGATACGTAGGGGCTTTCCGCTGGGGACAGAAAAACCCATGTAGTCAAACAACAAAGGATCAGTGCTCCTCACAAAAGCCAGGCATCCCATGGCAGTGACGTCTGTGCTCACTGCGCGGGGAGGTGCGGGGTCTGGGCTCATGTGGGGGGAGGCGCGGGGTCAGGGCTCGTGGGAATCATGCATTTTGTGTGGCCGTCACCTGTCTCAGGCCAGGATGTGTCCGGGTTTCTGCACAGGGCTGTGGGTGCAGGGGCCCTCATGACTGGAGCAGAGGGCCGCCCCGGCCACACCGCTTTCTCTCCTGCTGGGGTGCTGTGGATCTCGGTCTCTCAAGAGTCAGCACTGGGCCTTGCTGGTCTTTCCTGCTGCGGGTTTCCTTGCTCTTTATTCTGTGCCTTCAGGCGTCACCACTGCTCTCTGACTTTCAGCCTTTCTGCTCTTCAATGGACTTCAGTTTCCCTCCATGAAAGCACACAGGTGGTGTTTGCTGGTTTTAAGAAGTACCTGGTTCTTGCCTCCTCAGACTTGGCAGCATCCAGGAGCGCCCGCAGGAGTCAGCGGGGCCAGACCTGGCTCCAGGTCCTTGTGTCCTCTGGCTGAGGCGCTGGCCCTGCACGCCCAGTACTTCAGCCCACTCCGGGCGTCCGCTCCCCTGGGCGCTCGATGCCACCCCTCTGCAGAGGAGTGGGTTGGGGATGCCCAGGTGCCTCTCTCTGTCCCGTCTCTGCCGCTGGCTGGGTGCTACCCCAGAGCACCATCTGAGGGTGCTCTCATCTTTCAGCTCTGAATGCTTTCTGATCTCCCTCGTCATTGCTTCTTTGACTCGTGAGGTGGGCAGAACTGTGTGTTTTAACTTGCAAACATGCGGGAGTTTTCCGTCCACTTGAAGACCATGGGCTTGTTGTTGGCCCTGTTGGGGCAGAGGACTGGGTGGGGCGTGCCACTGGTGGAAGTGTGGCCCCTGCCTGGGGCGCTGCCAGCCTCCCTGGCCGTTCGCCGGGGCTGAGAGCAGGCCCCTGGACCCAGCCTGCCCTCTGCGCCGCCGGTTGCTGGGGCCCGCTTGGCTCTCAGCGGCTGAGCGAGCCCCCCGCCCCCGCAGAGGGTGGGCCCCCTTCTCCAGGTGCCTCAGCTGCTTCTGCAGGTGGAGATCTGGGCTGTCAGTTTGAGGCCAAGAGCTCGGCCTCTGTGCACCGGTGCCAGGTCGAATCTCAGAGGCATGGTTTGGGGTGAAGTAATACAAAGTAGATTTATTGCTTCGCCAGGCAGGGGAGACACAGTGGGCTCCTGCTGCCAACCTTTGTCCCAAGCTGGGAGGATCTGGTGAGGAGTTTATGGGGATGGTGCAGGGCGCGGTTGATGATAGGGATCAGGGTGTGAGCAGGTCCTGCACTCCCCTAGCCTGCTGGATGATAGGGATCAGGGTGTGAGCAGGGCATGTATTCCTTTAGCCTGGCCTCACATGTCTCCTGAGCTTCTCCAGATTAGCAAACTGGGATCCTCTGTGGAATGAACAACCTGACATCTTGCACTTATGGGGGCGCTTAGTTCTGTAAAGCTCAAAGATACTGTCATGTGCGTCCCTTGAGGTGCAACTGAAACCACGCACCTCAGATTGGGACTTGAACCCCTGTGGTGGGGGCAGGGACTCGAATGCAGCCAAAATCCATGGCCTTTTCTTTCTTGTTTTTTTTTAAATTTTTTCACCTGTGCTATGTGACTTCTGGGTTTCCCCAGTGGCTCAGTGGTAAAGAATCCACCTGCAGAGCAGGAGCTGCAGGTTCGATCCCTGTGTCGGGAAGATCCCCCTGGAGGATGGCTGGCAACCCACTCCACTATTCTCGCCTGGAGAATCCCGGGACAGAGGAGCGAGCTAAACATCGTCCATGGAGTCGCAGAGTCGGCCACGACTGAGCAGCTAAGCATGCAGCGTGCGTGTGACGGCTGAAAGCTGGCGACTTCCTGTTGGCTGTGCTTGGTTTTCATTGCCGTGCGGACTTTCTCCAGGAGGGGACGGTGGGCTTCTCACTGCAGTGGCTTCTCTTGTTGCAGAGCACAGCTCTAGGGGCGCCTCTAGAGCGTACAGGCTCAGGAGTGGCGGTGCTTAGTTGTCCTGCAGCACGCGGAATCTTCTAGGACCAGGGCTCAAACCCACGTCCCCTGCGTTGGCAGGCAGAGTCTTAACCGCTGGACCACCAGGGGAGTCCACCCATGGTCTTTTAACTAAGATCACACACCTGGTCTCAGGACTTAATGATGCTCAAGTTCTTCAGGTCTCATTGGAGAAACGATTCAGTGAGAGATAAAATGGTTGGTAAGAAGCGGGTTTATTTAGAGAGAGACACACTCACCATCTCAGAAGGTGAGAGTCCCCCTTATATGGGGTGGCCAGTGTTTGTTAGGTGAGTAATTTCATAAGCTAATGAGTGGGAGGATTGTTCCAGCTGCTTTGGGGGTGAGGCGGAGGTTTCCAGAAATTGGATCATGGCCAACTTCTTGGTCTCTGTGGGTCAGCCTTGGCCCTGGCATGCTGACCTGTTATGATGACATGTACTGAGGCCCAGGGTCTAGTGGAGGTTGACTCATCGCCATCTTGGGCCCGTCTGGCTCTGATTATCCCAGCAGTCTCGTTCTATTAAAGGTCGCGCCCTGCCCCTTTCCCTGTTTCACGGCCAGGACCTGCCCGAGGCCGCTCTGTTCTTGGCTCCTCCTCCCTGTCTCTGCACCCCTCCCTTCCCTGATGAGCAACTGTTCCAGTCTGCCCTTTGGAGCTCAGCGAAGGTCACCGAGGCTGAACAGAGAGACCCCGCGGGGTCCTGCTCACTTTCAGGTAGCTCGACTTGTAGGGCATTTTAGCAAAGAACAGTACCTCTTTGGAGACAGCATGGATGAAGGAAGAGAACGGACGTCCAGGGGCAAATTGTGGGAAGGTTTATAAACACACAGGAACCTGGTGGACATGAGCCTCATGTAGGAGCTGTCCCGGAGCTGTCCCGGGTGGTGACCCTGCCCTTGCCGGGGCCTGGGGACGCCTTTACACACTCTCGTCCTGCTTCCAGGTGCGTGGAGGGCAGGGGGCTACTCTGTGTCTCTTTCTTCTCAGTTGCCTTCAGCTCAGTAACCCTTATGCCAACATGGCCTGGTTTGAGGTGGCATGTTTTGCTGCCCTTCATTTACAGAGACTGTAGTCACTCGGTGACCTGGATTGGTCTGGCTTTGGGCCTTCTATTTCTCCCTCATTTCTTCTATTTTTTTTTAGTGTGGTTTATTACCTTCTTTGCCAGCAAAGGTCTGTCTAGTCAAAACTATGGTTTTTCCAGTGGTCATGTATGGATATGAGAGTTGGACTACAAAGAAAGCCGAGCACTGAAGAATAGATGCTTTTGAACTGTGGTGTTGGAGAAGACTCTTGAGAGTCCCTTNATCTTTCCCAGCATCAGGGTCTTTTCCAATGAGTCAGCTCTTCTCATTAGGTGGCCAAAGTATTGGAGTTTCAACTTTAGCATCAGTCCTTCCAATGAATATTCAGGACTGATTTCCTTTAGGATTGACTGGTTTGATCTCCTTGCAGTCCAAGGGACTCTCGAGTCTTCTCCAACACCACAGTTTGAAAGCACCAGTTTTTCATCACTTGTTGGTCCTTTAATGGACCGGAACCTGGTGGCCTGGAGAGTAAGAGAGAGAAAGAGGCTGATATCCCCTGGTTTACGCGGAAAGCCAATAGAGCCCTGTTCTTAGGGCTCGCGCTGCTGCGTGTAGGTACCGGGCGCCCTCTCGAGTGGGTGAAGGCACAGTGCGCCTTCTCAAGAGGGTCTTAGAAGCCCAGGTAAGAAAGTTAGCTCAGCGGGCCTCCACGCTCCAAGGAATTAGCCAGAAATAGAGAGAGACAGACAGAAAGAAGGAATAGAAAGAAAGAAAGAAAGACACGGGGACCCAAGCTCTGATGGAGCAAAGGTGTTTTAATCAACATGGAGTGGGCATGTATACTGTAGTTATTCTCAGCAAAGATAAAGAGTAAAATTCCAGACTTACAAAACATAAGATGATCCCTATCAAAGAGAGATTGCAAGCAATCACCTTTTACCGTATGGCTCATAAAAAGGAAGAGGGTACTTATCACCGTCATGAGAAATGCCTGGATTCCTCAGCCCCGGGAAAGGCGTGCCTCTCCTCTTAATTCCTGAATATTCAGGGATCAGTAAGGACCAGAGGGTTCCTGACAGATCCAGAGCAGCACCCGGGAAGCCTCTGGTTAATGCTTCCTGACAAGTCATTCAGCCTTCTTTATGGCCCAGCTCTCACATCTGTCCATGACTGTTGGAAAAACTGTAGCTTTGACTATAGGGACCTTTGTCAGCAAAGTGATCTCTGATCTCTAATACACTGTCTATATTTGTCATAACTTTTCTTCCAAGGAGCAAGCATCTTTTAATTTTATGGCTGCAGTCACCATCTGCAGTGATTTTGGAGCCCAAGAAAATAAAATCTGTCACTGTTTCTACTTTTTCCCCTTCTAATGACCATAAAGTGATGGGACCAGATGCCATGATCTTACTAAGTTTTAAGCCAGCTTTTTCACTCCCCTCTTTGACCCTCATCAAGAGACTCTTTAATTCCTCTTTACTTTCTGCCATCAGAATGGTGTCATCTGCATATCTGAGGTTGTTGATATTTTTTCCTGCAAATTTATCAGGGTGGTCCTATCTTAAAAGAGTTGGAGATTAATCAGTATTGTGACCCTCTTCCCAAGCAGTGTGCTGGCCTGTGTGTCAGCTTGGCTGGGCCGTGTGCCCAGATGCTTGGTCGGACGTCAATCTGAATGTTGCTGTGAAGACAGTTTTAAGATGAAATTAGCATTTAAAGCCACAGAGCTTGAATAAAGCAGGTCACCCTCCCCATGTGGGAGGATCTTGCCTGATCATTGAAGGCCTGGACCAGAGGACACAGACGTCCCCCACGGAAGGGGCCTTTGTACCAGGGCTGCAGCGTCAGCTCGTTTCTGGGTGTCCACCTGCTGGGCTAACCACTCCCCACAGTCCTCTGGGCCAGTTCCTTACGGTCAGCTCTCTGTCCCCCACCCTCTGGACAGCCCTGTTTCCCTGAGAGCCTGACCGGTCCTCGGAGCAGGGGCCTTGGGGCCCTGCCCCGTGGGTGTTATCACCCGCTCCTGGGCACGTGCTGTGTGTGGAGTGTGTTCCAGTTCCGTGATGTCTCCTCGCCCTAGCGGCACTGCTGTTGTTCCTGCCGTGAGAGCTCGTGATTGGCCAGACCCACCCACACTGCTGGTCCGTCTTTGACCTGGTAGCACAGCCCTGCCTTTAGTTTCCTCTGGGCCGGGAAGGCAGGTGACATCACGTCGTGGATTTTGTTAGCCTGAAAATGTACGCATTCTGCTCTTGAGCGGTTTCTCCTCAGTGAACTCTGAGACTCCGGTCTGACAGCCCTGTTCTCTGCAGAGTGGAGGCACCGCTGACTGCTGTCGGCAGGTAGCCGTGGGCCAGTGGTGTTCCACGGAAGGAAATCCTTGTCCTCGGGGTTCCTTGGCTTCTCTCAGCTTTGTTTAGGTGGGTCAGTGTCCGTCAGCTGGAGTCCGTGGGCTTAGCCTTCAGACACCGCTCCCCAGTTGTCCCTGCGGATACCGTCTCCCCATCCCCGCCCCCCGGAGTGTCCCCCAAGGGCTCAGGATGCGTCTCGTCTCTGCCGGCCGGCCGTGGTCCCAGTTCTCTGCGTGCTTGTCTGTTTTCCATCCTGCTACATCTCTCTCTGCTCGTTGACATTTCAGTGACCATCTTTTTCATTTCTAGTTCGGCCTGGATATTTAAAAGCTTTCTGGTCCATGTTTTTTATATTTTCTCTGTCTTATTTCTTTAAACACATGAAGCATTTATTTTCTGTTTTTGGAAATCACGGGATCACAGGTCTTTGTGGGTCTTGGTCATCATGGTTTCTTTTCTGTGTGTTTGTGATTTTTGTCTTAGGCTTTGTGTGGTGTGTGTGTGTGTCTTAGGCTTTTATCTGTGGGAATTATTGGAGGCTGAGTTGGAGGCAATTTGGGGCTGTGTGGACCCCGCAGGCCCATGCGGGGGGCTGCTGTGTGGATGTGCTGTGAGTACTAACAGAGCCCAGCTCCTCTCCCCGCAGTGCTTCCCTTGTTTGCAGAGCCTTCACCCTGGGTGTGTTGTGGGAACCACGTTTGGTGGGAGAAGGGACCCTGGTTTGCTCCCTACATTTGACAGACGTGCATGGAGGAGGGGGCATAAGAAGCCCCAGGTCACAGGGTCAGAGGTCCAAGGTCACTGGGTTAGAGGCTGCAGGTCACCTGGTTAGCGGCCTCCTGGGTGCTGGGAGACCCGGGTCTGCGGCGGTCTCGGTGGTCCCGCCGGGCTCGTGCAGGTTGGGCGGATGTTTGTCCATCTCAGGTGGGGGCCCTCAGGGAGGGTGTCCTCGGCTACAGCAAGCCCCCCGAGGCGCTGCAGCTCATGAGGCAGCTCAAGGCCCTCCTGGACCCCAAGGGCATCCTGAACCCCTACAAGACGCTGCCCACCCACATCTGATGGCCCCCTGCAGCCAGACTGGGGGGTCTCCATCTGGTCTTGGCATTGCCTGTGGGATGGGCCTGCAGAGCCTCCAACCCACAGAGCCAGCAGCAGGCTGGACGACTGGCTGCTTGGTCCAGGGGCCTGAAACTGGCCCCTTGCAGCCCAGGACGCATGGCTTTCTCTGCAGGAGTCTTCTGGAGCCCCGCTGTTCTGTTGGGTGGGCCGAGTGCAGAGGGCCGCCTGTCCACTATTGCCTGCCTGCTGGACAGACACTCCATGCCTCCGCAGGTCCTGGACAGGCTGGGTGGGCGCACAGTTCTGCCCACTCAGGGTCGACCAGGTCACCCCTGCTTGCCTGTGGCCTGTGGGATCCTGCCTTGTGGGGTACATCCCTGAGAGGGCAGTCCTACCACTGGCCCCCCACTCAGCGCAAGCCTCTGAGGGGCACCAGGCAGAGGGAATGAACTCCACGTGGGTGACAGGGCACTGAGGCAGGTCCATTCGTGCTCTGACCAGCAGAGCTGAGACATCAGGCACTTTCTGGACAACAACCGGTCCCCTTTGAGCCAGAGGGATGGGTGTGCCCTGCCCTGGGTGTGTCCCTGCTTGCTGGAAGGCCCGGCAGTTCAGGAGCCAGCCACCCGTTTATCACACTTGCTGTGACGCGTCCATGGAGATGTCTTTCCGGTTCTGCTCTGACCACAAACGTCAGTAGTGCCGGGTGAGAAGCCCCGCCAGCCACAGGCATCCTGTCACCCCGAGCAGGTGCTCCCCCGTTGACCTTGGTCCCCCTGGAGCAGCTGCTGGGGCTTGGAGACGGTCTGAGAGGCTAGACTCGCCTTCTTTCTGGTGCCATGAGCTTCCAATAAAAGCGATTAACCAGGATTCTCTCCTCCCTTTTGTTCCTAGGAAAGTGGCCTCACAAGCTGAGTGAAGGGCCTGTGTACTGTGTTCTTGAGCGCCGGAATGTCAGTGCCCTGGGGCCTGACCACCTGTGTGTGGGGAGGCATCCCTGCCCCGGCCCCTGGCCCCACGCCATGTCCCCCGTCCCCCACTGTGTGACTGGGAGGCCCGCCTCATCAGCCCCCTGAGGTGTGGCCTCTCGTGGCTTTCTAAAGTTGCCAGAGGCGGTCAGGTCCTGTTTGCAATGTGCAGTGGGGGCCTTTGTGGTGCAGAGAGACCTCCCGTAAGAAGTGTTAGGACTCAGCAAGTTTATTTTGGAGATTTAAAGTAATGCATGAATTATTAGAAGGCTTAACAATTGGAGGCATTTTCTGCTATAGTAACAGTGGGGCCTTGAGAAGGTGGCTTAGTGACTGGGGTTGGGAGGGAGCAAATGGCAGGGGAACCCTCGCTTCCTTGCAGGACAAAGCTGGTCTGCCCGAATGTCAAAAAGTGAAGCGGCAACCACTGGCCCTGCAGTTTGCCACTGGGGCTCACCCTGCAGTGTTGACCTGCATACACACAGACAGAACACACGGGCACGCACACGGCACACGAGCGTGCACACGGCACGTGGGCACATGTGATGGTGGGCGGTGCCCCCAGGCGATGCACAGAGCACTGTGTGCAGCTGGGGTCAGTCAGCAGCTGGTCGCCGGCCGTGCGCCTGTTGAGGAGGAGGCAAGTGTGGCCCTCGAGGCCCTTGGGGAGAGAGGGGGACAGACCGCTGCTTCCGAGAAAGGATGCGGACCCTTGGACACTGGTTCCAACAGAACCCTCCGGCGTGGAGAACGTGGTGGGGACTCACTTTGCGGAGGGTCTGGAGGTAGGGTCTGGTGGGGAGGAGACATCATTATACTTCCAGAGACTTTGCCTTGTTTTTCTGGCAGGAGCAGGTGCACTCGGATCGAACCTGGATGAGCCGGACACAGGCTGACTTGGGTCCCGTGGCTCCACTGGACTGGATAGGCCTGGGACAGGCCTGGGCTGCAGCCCACTCTCAGCCTGCCTCGAAGGGGCCACAAGCCCGGCCCCCAGTGCCACGGCTGGCTGGAGGTCCCCTGCTTGGCCAGGGCCCCCTGGCTGTGGAAGGGGTGCGCCCTGGGGGAGACGGGTGTTCTCCTTGGGGGGGGTGGGTCGTGGCTCAGCAGGATTTCAGGGCACAGGCCAGGGGCCCATGTCCAGCCCCCATGCCGGCCCAGGAGGGGGTGTCAGGTCACCTGTGAAAGCCTTCCTGGGCTGGGGGCCTTCTAGTCTGTCCACCACTGGCCCCTCCTGCTGTCTGCCAGGCTTTGAAACGTGGTTCCCCCCCCACGGGTTGCTGTTTCCCTACCTGGTCCCGGGACCCGCCTGGACTGGGGGCTCTGGGCCTCTCGGGGCTCTGGGGCCCTCCTGCCTCACTGGCCCTGGCAGCGAGCCCTGGCGGCGGGCTCCGGCCCCTTCCCACCATCCTGGGCTCAGCACATGGCCCCGTGGGGCTCCCCGAGTGCCTTGTGGCTGGCCTCTGTTCTTGGCCTCCAGCAGGCAGCCCCTGCAGCTTGGCCTCTGACTGGAAGCCGGGGTGCAGGCTGGTGTTTCCCACCTGTTTCAGGGTTGGGGCGAGGGGGCTGGGCGGCTAACCCCCCAGCGGAGGAGGTGGCAGAGGCTGGGTCCTGGGAGGCAGGCTCACATTAGGCGTTTCCTGCTGGGGTGACTCCGAGAGTAGGGGGCATGATGAAGGTGGGGGGCGACCCCAGCAGTGGGGGGGATGACCCCTACGGTGGGGGTGTGATCCCGAGGGTGGGGTGTGACCCCAACAGTGGGGGGTGACCCCGAGGGTGGGAGTGACCCTGAGAGTGTTGGGGGGTGACCCCGAGGGTGGGGGGCATGATGAAGGTGGGGGGCGACCCCAGCAGTGGGGGGGATGACCCCTACGGTGGGGGTGTGACCCCGAGGGTGGGGTGTGACCCCAACAGGGGGGGGTGACCCCAAGGGTGGGAGTGACCCTGAGAGTGTTGGGGGGTGACCCCGAGGGTGGGGGGTGATGAAGGTGGGGGTCTTGTTCTAGGACTCAGCCGCTGGGGTTGGGGCTGCCGTCCTCTCTGCCCCCCCAGCTGGTGACGGTTCACTTCTGCCTCTGAGCACCCCTGACGCCTCTCTGCTTTGGGGTGTCTCAGTGGACAGCGTCTTGGAGTCAGTGAAACAAGAGGGAGGGTGCCAAGCAGGCTGGACTGCCAGAGGCCCGCCTTCCAGACCTGACGACTCATGTGTCTGGGGTGGGGAGCAGGAGAGACCCCCCCCCCACCTGTGATTTCCCAGAATAATCCCCGAAGGTGCCTGGGAGGGGCTGAGAATGTATTGTCTTTGGATTAGAGAAAGCTGATTTTCACCTTAAAACCTCTAAGCTGCAACCTGAGAAGAGGTTATGTGAGAGGAGGTCCCACTGGAGGGCCACGGGTGGTGAGGAAGGGGCTGTGGGCAGCCCCCGGGGTGGGAGGAAGCTGAAGGCAGGGGCAGGAGCTGCTGGAGAGCCTGGGGGTTCAAAGACGTCTCCCACTGCTCAGCCCCCAGGATGGGGTGCACCTGGGCAGGAGGCACCCTGCCCAGGCCTGCAGGGGAGCAGAGTCCCCATCCTGTAAGGCCACAGACTTGGGGGAGACTGGTGGCCGTGTGGCCCTGCATGTGGGCCGCCTGAGCATGTCCATCAGGACGCTGACCCCAGAAAGGTGCAGGTGGCCCTGACCCCTGACCTCACTCTCACGGAATGCTGACCCTGGCCTGCTCCCTGTCTCTTCTCTGACCTCTGCCAGGACCGGGGGGGTCGGGGGGGTGGCCACCAGCCCCACTGCTGCCTTGCCCAAGGCCTGCTGTCCTAGGGTCCAGGCCCCTCAGACCCCGGGGGCCGAGAGAACGGGCTGAGTCTCCTGTTCCCCGGGCGGTGGCCCCTTCCGGGACTGTCACCCTGGTGAACGCACTCGGGACGGCCCTTGGTGCCTCCTGCTCCTCCCCGCCGCCCTGCGGGGACAGTCGGTCCTGGCAGGCTTCCAGGGCCGCTCCTGGTGCAGGCGTGTGTGAGAAAGCGGCCGCCGGGCATCCCTGGTGGGCCTGTCTACCCAGGGCCTCTTCCCCTCTCCTCTCCCGCGAGGTGGTCCGGGCGTACCGTGGGGCAGCGCCGTGGTCAGACTACGGCCCCTTTTTTCTGGGTAGAGTGAGCAGCAGCAGGCTCCACAGCCCGGGCGTCGGAGCAGTGAGGGAGCAGGTCGGGTGGTGAAAGGTGGCCGGCTGGCGGCTGCCGGTCCTCTGCGGCCCCGGACTCAGAGCCGGAGGCGGGGCAGGGGTGGGGGCCGCCCTGCGTGTGACCAGCTCCCGGGGTTCACCAGCCCAAGCCCCGAGGGGCCGCCGGCCCTGGGCTGGCGAGCGGCGTGCATCCGAGGTCTCTGATGGGAGGACCCCCTTCTGCCGCGCCCCCCGCCCCCGTTCAGGGCGGAGCCCAGGGGAGGAGGCGCAGCTCTGCTGGCCACGCCCCCGCACCTGCTCCCCACGCTTCGTTGGAATCTTGGAGTCCCGTCGACTCCCGGGCCCTGCCGGGGTGAGCGGGAGCCCCCAAACCCTGGCCTCACAGGGGCTCCCGCCATCACTCCTGAGCCCAGGCAGCCCCCTCCCTGTGTCCCCCAGCCCAGATCTGAGCTGGGGCCGCAGTGATGGCCCCTGTGCCGCCCACCTTGTCCCTCTCCTCCTGCTTGGATCTGGGTGCTGGGACCCCAGCTGGAGAGCAATGCACCCCCCCATCCGTGGGTGTAGGGGCAGGAGAGGGGTTGGGTGAGGAGAGAGCGTTCCCCTGAAAGGTGGGGCCGGCCTGAGCCTTCAGGCGAGGAATGCGGAGGCTGCTGGGCGTGTGAGAGGGAGATGCCCCCGCCAGCAGCACCGTGGCCTCCGGACGCGGGAGGAGGTGAGCAGGACAGAGGGGGCATCTGGGCCCTCGGGGACGTGGACGCTCCAGGTGACAAGGGCTGTGGCCGCCAGGCCAAGGCCTCTGACACTGGCAAGGCCAGGCCGTGGGGACCCAGGGCGGCACGGCTGTCCCCCATCCAAGCCCCATAGAGTGGGTGCTGGGGCCTGTCTGCAGAGCGGCCTTGGGTTCCACCCGCAGGGTCGCGGGCATGGGGCAGATGGCATGCAGTGATGCCCACCTCCGTGGGGGCCCCGCGGCCCCCTAACCAGAGCTCCCAAGTCCGCAGGGCAGCCCAGGGCTGTGCTGCCCAGGGACCCCCATCCTGTCCTATCCCCGAGGTCAGAAAAGGGCCGTCTCAGGAGACCGAGAGCCCCAGTCACAGGCGGGGTTTCACAGGGCCCAAGATGGGCTCCTGATGACAGGAGGCTGGGAAGGGGGATGCGGGGCTCCTAGCCATCCTCCGGGACCCCCGAGAGCCCGACCCTGAGGGGCTGTGATGGGGGTGGGGCACTCAGTGAAGGCACCTGGGAGAGTCCGCAGAAGCTGTGAGCCGGTGGGCTGGGTTGATGGAGGGTCTCTCTGATGCAGACAGGCCACTCCCCACCTGTCGCTGTGGGGATCTGTTTGCTCCGGAGAAAGGAGGCCCAAGTCCCCACTGCCCTGCAAGGCTAGCACCCAGCCCCCTAGACCCCAGTTCCCCAGCCTGCAGCCCCCCAAGGTCAGCCCCCAGCTGCCCAGGACTGCTCCCCCAGCCCCCAGCCCTCCCCCCACAGCGGCCGGGTCGGGCTTGTGCGTGGCCGTGTCCGCTCCCTGCCCTGTCTGGCTCCCCGTCCAGGCTACTCGTGGGCATCTCCCCTCCTGGAGGCCCCTCCTGCTCCGGCCCTGTGGCCCGTCCTTGCCCTCCCCACGGCTCCTGAGGGCTGAGCCCTGAGACGCCCTGATTTCGGCCGGGCCAGTGGTCCACTCCTGCTCTCTGCTGCCGGCTGCACTGGCAGGACCTGCTGCGGGGCCC